AGTACACCACCCAGCACGGAGTGACGGTTCTCGTGCAGCCGGACGCCTTCATGCACGTCGTCGGGACCGTGATGGATTACCACATCGACAAGGCGGCCGAAAAATTCGTGTTCACCAACCCGAACGCCGAGGGGGCGTGCGGGTGCGGAGAGTCGTTCGTGCCAAAAAAGCAGCCGCCCAAGGTGGCGCATGCATAGGTGAGGGATACCTGCACCCCGCCAAATGTGGTCATTCGCCCCCAGGCTGTCGAGAAGCGGGTGATAGTCCCCGTGGTGATGATGGTGAGCTGGCGACATCCAGGTCCAAGTGCCGTCCTTGGCTCGCTTCGTCGCGGGTTTCGTGGGTGGGCGCCCACAAGTCCAAAAAATACTCGACGTAGCTGCTTCGACTCCGAATGGAAGGGGGGAAATATAGAGGTAAGGGGCAAATACAATACAAACACAATCTGATTTGTTCTTCGCTTACACCACCGTGTGTTGTTTTCTCACTCAGGATTTTTTGACCTGTTGTGTTTGTGTGATTTGTCGTGTAGGGGTAGACCCGCATGACCTCACGTCCGTTCAACACGTGGTTCGGTAGTTACAGCACTTGGGATCCCTTGTTCTTTGTCGGGCAGCATCGTCGAGCATTTCCTTTCAAGCTGGCGCTTATGTAAAACATAAATCCGGCCCGGCGTCGGTCGTTTTCCTCCCCCGGGTCACTTCGACATCGAGTCGTCGAGGCCCTCGCGCGCGCCGGTTGAAGTACCGAAGGGGAAAACGTGCGAGGAATTAATCCCGCGAGCCGAGCTGAGGGCAGCATGCCGCATTACTTGCCAGCAGAAGGAGTATCTCACGATTTGTGTTCATCGCAAACTCACCTTTTCGCCTTTTTACTAAAGATGCCTGTGGATACCGGTCACCATGTGACAGCACAATTTTTCCAAAGGCTTGCCGCCTTCTTTTTATCCGATTTCGATTCGGTTGTGTTGAAAAACGGCAATGGCCGTGTATCAATCAGTCGGTCATTAACCTGCAAACACGGTCTTCAACCAGGAGCTAGACAGCCGTTGAGCTCCACAAAGCATGTTTTTTCGCTCGCAGGTTCGGGCCCGCACTTGAAGCTGGCGGTGGTAGCGATGTCTGTGGTCCGAGTTTTGCTACGTAGTTGCACCTACTTTACTGAGTGGCCGCCGAGCGGCAACGCTCAACCGTTGCTGCTCTACCGCCTGTCGTTGCCCTCGACTCGGCTGAGGGACCAACGCCGGCACACCCAAAAGCGCAGGCCGAGCTAAACTACCACGCCTCCTCTGCTCACCGTTTGCCCAGTCCGGCGTTTGAGCAACCCGAACCGTATGCCCAGTCCGGCGTTTGAGCAACCCGAACCGTTTGCCCAGTCCGGCGTTTGAGCAACCCGAACCGTTTGCCCAGTCCGGCGTTTGAGCAACCCGAACCGTTTGCCCAGTCCGGCGTTTGAGCAACCCGAACCGTTTGCCCAGTCCGGCGTTTGTGCAAACCCAAACCGTTTGCGCAATCCGGCGTTTGTGCAAACCCGAACCGTTTTGCCAGTCCATGGGCTGCCTTAGCATTGGGCATTCGGGGGAAAAGGGTCGCACAGGAATTGACTCGCGGATAGGGACGCTGCTTTGGGTCGCTGACCTGCCAACCGGTCCTCGCTGTTCGGAAAAAAGTCCCCTCCCTGCTGCCGCACACCACGCACGAAGCTGAACCCCACACAAACTCAAAAGATCGTTAGCTTCTCATGTGGGGCTCATCGACAATTTAAGTTTTACGACGTACTCCCATTCTCCCAAACAGGCACTGGTTTGGCAGAGCATTGGGGCGCGAGCTGTCAGGCGAGGCGGCCACGTATTACGCGGCGTTCCGCGCTGCGACGAGAATTACACCTGTTTGTGTCGATTGCGAAGCCACGAAGGCTTCGGTCGGATTTGGCTGACATAAATCTCCAGTATACTTTGCGGAATTGCGGTCAAAAAATTGACAGGGCTACGAGTTTGGAAGTCTTACCCAGCCGTTTTTTGGCAAGCTCTTCCACGAATGAGCTCAGATTTTCGATCGGACACCAAACCATGCGTGGGTTTGTGGTTTTGCCCAGTACAACGATCACGAAATGATTCAACAAAGTCGAAAACCCGCGTTTTTCGAAAGACGCCGATACGGGATCGTCGGAAGCACAAAAAGTGGCTCATTTCTTTGTCCGGAAACCTCTTTCTCTCCGCAAAGAAACTGCTGCTACACGGGAGCCAAGCTTCACGTGTTCGGCGGTACTGCAGAGCCAGGGCCTGCGGGTCAAGTGGCTACCGATTTCCCAAACTAAAGCATCAAGGCTTGGCGCACCTTGGGGCTTGGCGCTCGCGCTGAACACAAGCTCGTCGAGACGGTCAGCCACAGGGCAGAGCGGACGGGGTTGTCGCACTGTGCTGCCTCCGACTCAAGCTTTGCAAGCTGTGGTTGACCGCTACGTTCCTGGACCAGGAGCGGCCTTTTTCATCTTCTTCTTGTGTGCTGGCTGTGGCGAGCTACGGACAGCCTCCTGACAAACCAGACCCACACCGCTGTCCTGTCTGCAGACACCCAGGTTCCGTGCTGATGATGATGGATCGCCTTGTGCCCGTGGCTTGTATAGGACCAAAACACGGCACAGACGGGACCAGGAGCACGTATCCGTTCCAAGCACGTTCCTGCAATCACTTAACCGGTGGCAAGCTTCCGGGCTCCCTTGATGCGTCAGTTATATCTTCCAATCTTCCCCCTTCGTGGCATCGCCATGAACATCCGTGCGAGGAGCTGGCTGAGGACGTAAAAATAGATGCACCGCACGACTTGTGTCCTGTCGCGACACAGACGACACATAGTTCTCGGGGTAGTATGAGAGGTGATCCCGGGTTTGCAGAGGATAAGGGTAAAAGCTTGCTCGATACACGATCTTCAGTACCGATCCTCGGTGTGAAAGCATGGCCTAAC